TGCTGGTGGTAGGGAGTATAAAATGAATGAGTCCAATGTCCATGCATGGAGAAAAATAAAAGGCTGACTGCAGAAAATGCCAAAGAAGAAATGCTCTTATGCAATGTGTAACAGACATAGACAATAAGGATTTGCCCTTGCTTCAACAGAGTTGCACCTTTAAGCACTCTATTTAGCCAATTCAATGGCTGATTATCAAACCTAGAAGGCTCCATAGATGTTATATGGGTTTTTGCGTCAAAAAGATTTGTCTACCCGCCATCTACCCACATCTCACAAAAACTGCCAGCTTATTAAGAAGAAAACTTTTGAAATTCCAGAAATGTCATAAATTTACGAAATCAGGATATTAAATTATCAAATATCAGATAGAAAATGCAGACCAAACTCCTCTTAAATTTGATTTACCACCAGATACCACAATTGACTGCAAAGTACAAAGGTACATCATCTGTTAATATTTGAATAAAAGGCAAAGAGAAAAATAGGTTAACTGTTTTGTTAGCTTGCATCATAGACGGGGAAAGTTACCACCATGTGTTGTATTTAAAAGACAAACCATGCCAAAGTTGGAGCCTAAAGGTAGTATAGTACAGGTACAACCAAACAGGTGGTTTGATGATCGCATTACAAAAGATTGGGTGGCCAGAGTGTGCGGTAGGAGACCAGGAGCAGGACTCTTGTCATAGTTTGTTGGTGTTTGATACCTTTAGGTGTCACAGGTTGTAGGAGATGATGACAATACTTAAGACCAAGCATCATACAGATCTTGCTGTAATCCCTGTTGGTATTTTACAACCTATAGATGTCAATATTAACAAGCCAATGACTGTTGCACTAGAACAAAAATGTAATGCCTGGATCAGCGGAGATAACAATTCTTTCACCAACACTGGTAGAATGCCCAAGCCAGAACAGTAGAGGCATTGGAGGAGCTTGACCCTCAGTTCAACATCTGATCCTTCAAGAAATGCACAATTTCCAATGCTGTTGATGGATCTCAAGACAACATAATCTGGTAAGAAAAAGTCCAAGCTGCTGACCACAATATGAAGAAGAAATTAAGCAAGAAATCTTTTACCATGATTCAGATGAGGAAAAATTGACTGTATGCCACTTGCTGCACTTAGAGACATTTTCACCATATTCCGTGAAAAAAATGAAGAAGAGTTGAATGGTTTCTATTTATGTGTGACACTTAATCATATACAGTTAAGTGCTTTATTGACATCAAACTTCAATTTGTCTGAGTGATCCAATTATAAACTTTAATAGTGCATTATATTCTATACCACTGTATTGATGTTTCATGTTTATCTTAATTGATTAGAAGTAATTAAAATGTTATAACTGTTTAACCCTATAATTTTTTTTTATTGATTTGAAGAACTGTCAGAGGTTATTGTATTACATACAACACTTGTAAAAATTTGACATTTTTATTTGATAATTGCTACACATACAAACTTTGTTAACTTGTTCAGGCAAGATGTCACACTTGCACAATATGACCCTTTACCTAGAAATATAGTATTGAGAATCAAAACTACTTGTTCTTTGCGGTTCAAACTTTTCAATATTTATGGTTACGATTTACAATTAAAAAATGTCAGTTATTGATTTATTACAAAAGATAATTTAGAGTTGTACACAAAAAAAAGTCGAAATACGAAATAACTTGGCTGTTCAGCTTACATTACTCTGACACACATACTCCAAATGGTGCATTGTTTACATATGCTAAAAACATGAAGCATAATCAATTTCGTTAAAGATTTTTCTTGGTCTTAACTAGTCTATTATGGCTAATGCTAATCAAGGTTTGATCTCTCATTGATATTCATGCAAGAAATGAGTTGATTGTTGTTAAAACAATTTCATCAATTATAATCTTAGCTGAAGTTAAATTGATGTGCAAATGTCCATGATATATAAAATAGTTTTTTTAAAGATACTATGCCTTGTGGTTTCTAATAACTTATTCCAAACATCTCTTTTTAAAATATTTAATATAAAATACATAAACTTTCTGAGCAACCCCTATCATCTTTAAACTAGAGGCTCTCAAGAGCCTGTGTCGCTCACCTGATTCTACTTTGGTTTTGGAAATCATGTAAAAATAGATTAAAATCATAACAGATACCCTAATAATGAGTGAGGCCAAATTTGGTTTAATATTGGTCCTGTAATTTAATAAAAAATCCTGGTGGCCATCTTGAACAGTAAATCGGCAACAAAGTAGCAACACTTAATCAGCACCTCATAAGAAACATTTATGCCATGTTTTGGTTTCATTCCATTCAGTGCACCTCTAGAAGAAGCATTTGTATGTATTTCCCATAGGGTCTTATGTTAAAGGAAGTCCCCCCATTGGCGGCCATCATGGATGAAGGATCAGCTTCAAAGTAACAAAACTTAGTCAGCACCTCATAAGGAACATTCATGCTATGTTTGGTTTCAATCCATTCAGTATGTGGTTCTCTAAAAGAAGACATTTGTATGTATTGTCCATAGGGTCCTTTGTTAAACATTGTCCCTCCCCATCTGGCAGCCATCATGGATGAAGGATCAGCTTCAAAGTAACAACACTTGGTCAGCACCTCAAAAGAAACATGCATGCCATGTTTGGTTTCATTCCATTCAATGGTTCTCTCAAAAAAGAAAACATTTGTACGTATTTCTCATAGGTCCTATGTTAAACTAAGTCCTCCGCTGGTGGCCATCTTAGATTATGGATCGGCTTCATAGTAACAACACTTGGTCAGCACCTCATAAGGAACATTCATGCCATGTTTGGTTTCATTGCATTCAGTGGTTCTCTAAAAGAAGACATTTGTATGTATTTCCTATAGGGTCCTATGTTTAACTAAGTCCCCCGCTGGCTGCCATCTTGGATGATGGATCAGCTTCAAAGTAACAACACTTGGTCAGCACCTCATAAGGAACATTATTGCCATGTTTGGTTTCATTCCATTAAGTGGTTCTCTAAAAGAAGACGTTTGTATGTATTTCCCATAGGGTCCCATGTTAAACTAAGTCCCCCGCTGGCTGCCATCTTGGATTATGGATCGGCTTCAAAGTAACAACACTCAGTCAGCACCTCATAAGGAACATTCATGCCATGTTTGGTTTCATTCCATTCAGTGGTTCTCTAAAAGAAGACATTTGTATGTATTTCTCATAGGTTCCCATGTTAAACTAAGTCCCTTGCAGGCGGCCATCTTGGATTATGGATCGGCTTCAAAGTAACAACACTCGGTCAGCACCTCATAAGAAACATTCATGCCATGTTTGGTTTCATTCCATTCAGTGGTTCTCTAAAAGAAGACATTTGTATGTATTTCCCATAGGGTCCCATGTTAAACTAAGTCCCCCGCTGGCGGCCATCTTGGATTATGGATCTGCTTCAAAGTAACAACACTCGGTCAGCACCTCATAAGGAACATTCATACCATGTTTGGTTTCATTCCATTCAGTGGTTCTCTAAAAGAAGACATTTGTATGTATTTCCCATAGGGTCCTATGTTAAACTACCGGTAAGTCCCCCGCTGGCGGCTATCTTGGATGATGGATCCGCTACAAAGTAACAACACTTGGTCAGCACCTCATAAGGAACATTCATGCAATGTTTGGTTTTATTCCATTCAGTGGTTCTCTAGAAGAAGTTCAAAATGTAAAAAGTTAACGCCGATGACGGACGCCAAGTGATGAGAAAAGCTCACTAGGCCCTTCGGGCCAGGTGAGCTAAAAATTCTGGGCTAATCAATGGCCCTTCTTTAATTGTAATATCCACATTTATACCATTGTTAACAGATTAAAAGTAATATAATAAAATGTTTTCTTAAAAAATTTGTAAGGGTTCCACGGAACCCAGTGTCTCGCTTACTTTTGCTGTTAATCACAGGCTCAACAAAAATGAGGAAAAAAATTAATAAAAATATTCCTCTCGATACTATCTTTTGATTGTAAGAAGCTTCTGTCCAAGTTTGGTAAAATCCAGGATAGTTTATGAATCTAATAAATGTTATAAAACTTTAACTGCAGGCTGTATGTAATGTTAACTGGAAGAAAAAATGAGTCCATTTATAAGTAAAATACGAAAAAACAGGTACAAAATTTTTACAAAATTTCCATCTAGATATTAGCTTTTGATCATAAACAAGCTTTTGTCCAAGTTTGGTATAAATCCAGGATAGTTTAAGTTATTAAAATTTTAAAAACTTTTAACCAGAGTGAATGTAATGTTTCCTTGCAGAAAAACTCAGTCCATTTATAAGTAAAATACGGAAAAAAATTAATTCTTTTTACTAAATTTACATCTGGATACTATCTTATGATCATAAACAAGCTTCAGTCCAAGTTTGGTAGAAATCCAGGATAGTTTTAAGAAAGTTATTAAAATTTCAAAAACTTTAACAGAGTGAATGTAATGTTTCCTGGCAGAAAAACTAAGTCCATTTATAAGTAAAATACGGAAAAACCAGAATTTTTTTTTTTAAATTTACTACTGGATACTATCTTATGATCATAAACAAGCTTCCGTCCAAGTTTGGTAGAAATCCAGATTAGTTTAAGAAAGTAATTAAAATTTCAAAAACTTTAACCACAGAGTGAATATTTGTGGACGCGCCGACGGAATGTAGGATCGCTATGTCTCGCCTTTTCGACAAAAGTCAAAGGCTCGACAAAAAGGATGCAAAATAATTAAAAAATTACCAGCTAAAACTTGAGAGTTGATTGCACTAAAGCAAATACAATGCAATTGCCAAAGTTAAAAGAAAACATTGCTTGCATATAACTTTATAAAGGGGCATAACTAGAAAACATTAAAAGTGACGTCACCCAAATTCAAACTTGATCTGTGTTATGTAGTAATTAGCATTGTTTATAAGTTTCATAACCATGATAACATTTGGTTGAGGCAAACTAAAGTGAGAGAACGGAAACAAAATTTGGGACGTACGTAAGAATTAATATAACTATTACACAAATATAAGTATAAACAATGTGAACAGTACATAAATTTTGGCTTATACAATTTTGATATAATACCTTGTAGCAGAGGTAAAAATTCTCATACACATTCTGTAAAATCATGATTTAATGTATGCAAAAATAATTGTGTATCTTCAAAAACAAACAATTATGTAAAATTAATTCATGTAATTTCCATATTTGCCTTAATAAAAAAAATAACAAAAAATTTCTGAATGAGCATTTATGTTCAATGCTATGTACTGTACACAACAATCAAATTTACTTATCTATAAATAAATGTTTTTCTTATATAATACTAAGTTTTAATACTTCCTGGTTCCCTTAAGTTATTCTAATAGTATAACATGTCATAATGTTGTCTCTTTTGTGGTACGTCTTCCTTCCAATATATCAAAATACCTGGAAAATAATTAAGAAATATTTAAACATACAGTGAAGCACTTTATAAATGCAAATTTCCATCATAATGTCATATATGCTTTAAGGGTTGGTTGTTAGCATGAATTTAAAAGGAACAAGGGTGGGGTCTGGTGGTTGCCAACTTTGTTGGGATCAGTAAGCATTGCCCTAATTTTACATTAGGAAAACCTTCAGAATTTTTCCTAATTGTATGGCTTTAATTTGTTCCAAGAAATAGGGGATAAAGTGCACTTGATTAGTCATCAACATGGTCAAGAATCAAAATGTTTTGCCAAAAGTTTAATCCCTATTCAGTATATTTACCCCTTATGCTCTTACATTTAGCAACATTATGTTCTATGCATGAAATTGATTCTCAATATGATTGACTTGATTGATTGTTGCATATTTGCCATCCAGTGGCAAATGTTTCGTGCATGTTCTGGACAAATACTTAACATCTCTTTTTGCTGTGTTTAAGTTCATGATTCTGAAGATGCACAATTCTTTTAAGTATCTTATACAATTGTCAATTAAAAATAATTATGAATTTTTTGTTCAATGCCTACAATGTAAAAAAATAATTTAAGAACTTCCTCGTCATGTAATTTTGAGAAATAAATGAATTTTAGTAGTAACAATTTCATAAGCATCAAAAAAGCACATGTCAAAATATGCTGTATGAATATAGTATTTAAATACATGTGAAACCACAAAATGATACATTTGCTGCTCAACAAAACTTCCTCCTTACCTGTCTAACAAATTATCCAGCCACAATCTGTTACCCAATTGATCTATCCATGTCCTAGGAATGGCCTGTATACCAAGTTTACATCCCAACAGAGCCCCAGCTACTGCAGCATTTGCATCAGCATCTCCTCCCTGAAGTAAATTATAAAATGCTAAAGATCAGACATCAAATTATCAAAGTATATATAAATAAATAGAGAATGTGTCCATGGTACACAGATGATGCTCCCACTTGCATATAACGTTATAAAAGGGCATAACTCGAGAACGAGTGACACCACCCTAATTCCAACTTGATCTGTGTTATGTGGTAATAAGCATTGTGTATAAGTTTAATAACATTTGGTTGAGGCAAACTAAAGTTAGAGAACAGAACCAATTTTGGGATGTACGTATGTATGGACGGACAGACAAGAGTAACACTTAATGCCCCCTCCGGTGACAGCAGGGGCATTAAAATACAAAAGCATAAATTGAATTACATCAATTCCTTTTTAGTTATTTTACCATGTAAATATTTATAAGGCTCATGTTGCAATATAAGAACTTATTTGAAGCTTTGTAAATCTTTCATTGTATTCACATTTTCAAGTGTGTTTAGAGGAGAGTGTAATTGCCTAGTTACTTAGCATTCCTAAACAGGTATAAAAATTGTATATATGTAACACTCCCAAACGTGTCCATCCCCCCAAACGTGTCCGATACCCCAAACGTGTCTATTCCGCCCAAACGTGTCCATCAAATCATAAATCGCCCAAACGTGTTTGATTTCACATCCCCAAACGTGTCCGATAATTGTTATTCGCCAAAACGTGTCCAGATAAAAACGCCAGAACGTCAATATTCTTAGCCCCAATGAAGTCAAAAACGTCTACGGAAATTCAATGGCGTGGGATACGATTAAAGACGTCGGGTTCGGTTGAGTTCTTAAACAATCAAAGTAGCTACCCTAAGAAATTTGGAGGAAAGTTTAGTAAGCCGTATAGACAAATGTTCAAGACATTCTACACTGTGCACAGTGACTTATCATTTGTGGGTAAATCGGGCAACTATAAGGCTAACAATACAACAAAGGCGTCTAGCATGTATGGATCTCTATTCAAACTCTGATCTCAATACGTCACACTTAGGTGACGTTACAAAGAATAGCGGCAGCGAGAACGTTACGTTTATGCGTTACTTCCAACATACTGGGGGCCGCAAATGAATTACTTTACAATAAATAAAAGTGATCACAAATTAAACGATAAAAGTTCTGAGAAAATAAATTAAAACTTTAAAGTCTCTATGTAATAATATTTAACAGTCCATGGTTATTCACTTAAATGTCCATATGTTAATCACACATTTACTTTTACTTTTCACAATTTACATTTAACACGCGTCCATGTTTTTATTTTCTTCTTTGCCTCAAACTGAGCTGCTCTAGTTTCAACTTCCAAAGAATTCAGTTCTAACGGATAAAGTTTGCTGATTGGTCTAGATGTCACACCATTTTTTGTTCGAATTATGGCTGATTGTGTAAGTCCATCTTTGCCGTAAACTAATTTGTCAATTACAGCCAAAGTCCAATTTACTCTTGATACATCGTCATGAATCTGAACTACATCTCCGACATTAATGTTTTGTGTGTTTCGACCAGTGTATCGGTAATGTTCCCTAAGCAAAGTTAAGTATTCCTGTTTCCATCTTTTTATGAAGTTTTTAAGAATTAATGATAGAAACTTCGATTGTCTAGTTACTGATTCATGCGTAGTGTCTTTGGTTCCTGGTTGTAAACTACAGTCTTCAAGTCCGGTATAAGGTAGCGTCCTGATTCGTCTTCCATATAATAAATGTGACGGAGTAAGGGGTTCTTCGTCCGTTGGAGCCGATGAAACGTATGTAAGTGGGCGGTCATTAAGTATACTTTCTACTTCAGTAATTATCGTGTTGAGTGTTTCATTGTCCACCAGTGCTCTTCCTAATACTTTTTTAATGCAATTTTTCGTTAATCCTATCAATCTCTCCCACCATCCGCCGAACCAAGGTGCTCTTTTCGGGATAAATCGCCAAGTTGTTCCATAAGAATTAAGCTTCTCGGTTACATATGAAGACTTTGTTAAATGTTCAATTTCTTTTGCCCCCGCAACATATGTAGACGCGTTGTCTGAAATCATCACTTTTGGGAGTGACTTTCTACTTGTAAATGGCGAAAAGCTAAAATAAAAGCATTCTGTGATAAATCCTGCACAATTTCTAAATGAACTGCTCTTGTACTAGCACAAGTAAACAGACATATGTATACTTTTTTGTTTTGTCCTTCTTTAGTTCTTATGTGTAATGGTCCTGCGAAATCCACTCCTGTAACTGTGAATGGATGGTTTCACGAAGTCTGTCAGCTGGTAGGGGTGGTGGGTCCGGAATTGGGTAGGGTCTTCCTGTTACTTTACGACAAGTAACACAGCAATGCAAAAGTGACTTTACGTTTCGTCTGATCGTTGGAATCCAGTAGTGCTGGCACAAAACTGTAACTGTACTTTCTAGTCCACAATGGAAATTTCTTGTATGCGCATCTTTTATGATGAGATCGGTTAACTTGTCTTTAGATGGCAATAAAACGGGAAACTTAGCTGATTCTAGTGTATTTGCATTGTTAATTCTCCCTCCACCGCAGCGTATTATATTTTCGTGATCCAAATACAGTTTGAGTTGTTTAACAAGGCTGTTTTTCGTTTGTTACTCCTTTAAGTCCTTCATTATTTCAGCATAGTTTCTATGTTGTGAATTTCGAATTAACATTATAGACATATTCTAAATATCCGATACGGTTAACATTCCACTATGTTTGTCTTTTCTGCAGTTTTGTATGAATCTTAATACGTAAGCACTTACACGAAGTAGTTTCTGATAAGAAGAAAATTGATCAATTTGATGAAGTCCTATTGTATCGGCTATCATACGGACCTCGTCTTTTTTCGCCGTTTCTACGTCGTCTGTGGAAACAGAGAGAATTTGGTGTTGATCATTAGGTATCCATGACGGCCATTTAGACTTGTCAGTAATCCACTGTGGACCATATATCCATAGTTGACTATTTTTAAATTTATCGGCTGATATCCCTCTAGATAATAAGTCTGTCGGGCAATACCTCCATTTAAATGTCCTTGTAAGTTGTTTGATTTCCGAGACTCGATTTCTAACAAAGGCTGGTAGTTGTTTGTCAGTCTTTAGCCAGTTCAGTACTATCTGACTATCAGTCCAAAGTATCGCTTGTTCAATATTGATATGTTGCATAAGATGATTTAACAGTCTAGCTCCTATAACAGACGCCATTAGTTCAAGTTTCGGAATTGTCATTTTCTTCACTGGTGCAACTTTGATCTTTGCCATCACTAGCTTGCTTTGATTTCCATCTACGTCTATAATATACACACACGATCCGTAGGCCTTTAAGCTTGCATCGGTAAAAATGTGGATCTGCAAGTTATTCGTGTTTAAGGTGTTGTCTAGGTAACAGCGGGAAATCTCAAGTTTGGTACAATCATTTGTGTCTTTTTGTATCTGTCTCCACTGTAAAACGAGGTTCGATGATAACAGTTCGTCCCAATCTACTTTCAACTCCCATATATGTTGCATCAACATTTTACTCCTAACGGTATTGTAATAGGACTGATTATTCCGAGCGGATCGTACACTTGTGATGACTGACCAAGTATATCACGTTTTGTTGTAATGCTATCATCTACTGAAAGAGGGTCTCTGCGTGCAAATGTGAGTGTGTCGTTTTCTGTGTCCCATCACAAACCAAGTATCTTGACAAGTTTGTCTTCGTCTAGCACATTTTCGGATGAAGCACGGTCTTGTAGTTCTTTGCAGTTTGAAGCCCATGAGCGTAAGTTAAAACCTGCTTTTTCAAATACTGAATGTGATGTATGAAAATAGTCTAACAAATCTCTTTGTTGATTAAAGATTAAAGCTCGAAATAATATTGTCAACATACAAGTCTTTCTTTAACATTGTTGTCCAGTCAGTGGGATTTTCATTCAAATGTTTACGTATAACAGCAATTAGGATGAACCGTGAGCAAGTTGCTCCAAATAATACTGACTTGAATCTGTATATGGTAACTTGACTATTTGGGTCATCCGGGTTACTAAGCCAAAAGAATCTGGTAACATCACGATCCTCTTCATTAAGACCAATATTAAGAAAGGCTTTTTCTATATCAGTCGACACAGCGTATTTGTATATTCTAAATCGGAGAAGAATTCTGGTTAAGGCATTCAAGTTTGGCGAAAGATCTATCAAACAATCATTTAAACTCTGACAGGTGTAGGTTTGCAGCTGCAGTCAAATACAATTCTGATTGGCGTGGTTGACGACTCTTTACGTACATGATGGTGAGGTATGTAATGAACCTTTGTGTTCGTTGATCGTTCATCAACTCTCTCGATAAATCCACGTTTTTTATGTTCATTTATAATTTGTCCGTATTTCTGTAAAAGTGTAGGTTCATGACTAAGACGCTTGATGACATTTTCTGTTCTCCATTGTGCAATACTTCTATTTTCGAGTATGATAGAGTGTTCCTCCTTCCAAGGTAACTTAGCAACATATCTGTTTCCATGGTAACTAATACAATTTGCTTCATATACATCTTGGAAATGTCCGTTTTCAGATTTGTTGTCAGTATTCTCTATACCAGCAGCTTCAACTTCCCAAAATTTCTCCATGTTAAGCTCTTCAACTTTGTGACCTACTAATATGTTCAACATTGTGATCTGGAGTTGCAGGGAGTCCATTGATTGGGCCGGATAGAAGGTATCCGATTTTCGACTTGACGGCAGTAGGTCCTGTTCCTCGCACTATTCTATCCTCGACAATCGACCAGTAATAATCGGCTCCAATCATTAGAGAAACTTCAAACATAGGGTCATGTGAGACGGGATGGGCTAATTTCAAGCCATACAAATACTTTAAATGGGTTGTCTTATGTACATAGGTCTTCATTGGTACAGCTATTTCTGGTACAATCAAAACGCTGATGGGTAATTTTCCAGTATCTGTAAGTAGGTAAATGGTACCAGTGTTTAGATGTCGGACTTTTTTGCGCTCATTTGTGTCACCAAATCCTGACAAGTTTACGGTCTCCTGTCCGGTAATGGCCAAATTCAGCTCTGTAGCTAATTTGTCTGTGATGAAGGACCTCTGTGCGCCCTCGTCAAATAATATGTTTGCGTTAGTACATTGAATGCCTGAACTTACTTGTGCTACGGCAGTTTTAAGTAATACATTGGTCTGTGCCTGTGAGTGAAGAACTGTGCCCGTTTCCTTCGCGTTGTGTTGTGTTCATGAATTGTGCTAATATTTACATTAGTGTTACTCTGTTTTTCATCTTGTTGTATCTCGTCTTTGCATAAACTAGTATGATGCTGTTTTTTACATTTCCTGCAACTTTGATGTGATTTGCAATCTGCTACATTATGATGTCCAAGACAGTTAAAACATAAACGATCCCGATTAACAATAGAAATTCTTGCTTTGTGGTCAGTTATCTTAGTGCAGTTAACGGGGGAGTGTGATTCTTTACAAAATACGCATGACTTTACATGCATTTGTCTGTTGGCTGGTTTTGTACGTACCTTTGCATTGGTGTGAAATGCTGCAGTAGCGGTATAAGTTTCCGTAAAATCAGCGGAATTGCCTTCCTCCATAATATTGAGTTCGTGAAATATCACTTGTCAGGGTCAGATAATTGCCAACTGGTTGAACCATGGTGTCTTGTTAAATTTATACGTACGATTCCCGGTAACTTTTTCAATATGATAGGGACCAATAATGAGCCATAGGTATCCTCTGTATGACCAAGGGATTCTAAACCACGTACATATGTTTCTATTTTGTCGTAATAGTTACGTAAGCTCTGAAGGGTATTCTTGGGTGACGGTATTTCAAGTAATGCATTCATGTACTTTTGCGTGATTTTGTGGACTTGTCCATACCTTTGTTGTAGCAACGAAACTGCTCTTTCGTAATTTGAGTTTGTAAGTGCAAAACCATTTACGGTTTGGAATGCTTCATCATGTAACAATGACTTCAAGTAATTGAACCTCTGGACGTTACTCAGTGTTGGGTTTGTATGTACGGCTGCTTCATACGAGTCCCAAAAGGACTGCCATTGTAGAATGTCGCCATCGAAAGTTGACAGATTGAGTTTAGGGAGCTTATTGTACTCGCTAGCAATAGAGGAATATGAGCGAAAATCTGAACAGAAATTATTGTGCTGATTTTCTGAGCTTGAAGGATTATTAGTACTAGGATATGACGGCGGAACGTCGCTTCTAGAGTTTGTAAAGCTTGTGGCATTTGTATTTAGCGTTGATGTTTGTACTGTGATAAATTTAGCTATTTGACGTACTTTTGTTTCTAAATTAAATGAATACTCATCTGAGTCAATGATTTCTGTTCCAATGTCCTCTTGATCCAAATCCTGAATAATGTCTTCATCTAATTTCCTTAACAATTCTTGTTTCCTTTTCAAAGTGTCTAAAATGTTCGAAAGTTCATCGGAATCAACAAGTTCTGTTCTGTTGCTCTCCCGAATTTCGTCGAATTTCTTAAACATTCTTGAAATGGCGCTTCTATGTCCTGCACGTATCGATTTCAGCTTCAAATTCATCCTGGTCACTTGGCACCAATATCGTTTAGTGGGTAAATCGGGCAACTATAAGGCTAACAATACAACAAAGGCGTCTAGCATGTATGGATCTCTATTCAAACTCTGATCTCAATACGTCACACTTAGGTGACGTTACAAAGAATAGCGGCAGTGAGAACGTTACGTTTATGCGTTACTTCCAACAAAATTCAATGGCGTGGGATACAATTAAAGACATCGGGTTCGGTTGAATTCTGAAACAATCAAAGTAGCTACCCAAAGAAATTTGGAGGAAAGTTTAGTAAGCCGTATAGACAAATGTTCAAGACATTCTACACTGTGCACAGTGACTTCTGCTTTCAAAAAATAGACACCAGGTGAAAAAGGAATCCCACAATAAAAAGTTTTTTTTACTTGCAGCGGTTTTAATAATGTTTTATATAAAGTTCAGATAGAGGTATTTCACAATTAAAAATTTAATATATTTTATCTTGTAAATTTTCACAGTGCTTCACTGTTAAAAGTGGTAATTTATTAGCATTAATTTGATCAACGGCGGTTATTTTTATTAAGTATAATTGCAAGCTAAATTTGCAACACATAATTAACTATTGAATATTGATTGCTTAATGTCCAGTGGCAAATATATAATGCGTATTTAAAAAAAAACATTAACATTGCAATTCATTAGTTTTGTACAGTTTAAATAATTGTTTACTAAGTGGATTCTATTGTACTAATACTCTTCGTTGATACCTAAATGTCTATATAATGTATGAGGGTATTGTACAACCTGCTTCATGCAGACTTGGTTTCTGTGCTTTTAAAATGGAGACTTTACGGTTTCATATAAACCAGGCACGTTTGGCCTTTTCAAAAAATTAAATGGACACAATTGGGCACTTATAAACAGAACATGTTTTGGCGCCCTTTAGCAACTACACATGTTTTGCAGTTCAGCGACGTCATATGGACACGTTTGGGGGGATCGGACACTTTTTGGGGGGATGGACACGTTTCTGAGTGTTATAAATTATACCACTTCTGAAATTGTGATACAATATCTCTCCACTGAAGACAGTTAATTTTTCAAATCTCAAATGTGAGGCTTGCAAAGTGTTTCAACAATCAATGAGACTATTGACAGTGGGAAAATATTGGATTGCATAAGATTTGGTGGTTGAATCTGTTTCCCTGATGATTTTTAAGCAAATTTTATCTTTTCTTTTTCATGATCTGCAAAACTATGTGTTCTTTTTTTGATATATAATCATCAGACATGGTTGCCTTTTATTCCTGATGTCACAAAAGCTAATTCAAAGGAAAGCAAGAAAATTTGACATCATTATTGAATTTTGACTAATGAAGAACTGAGATCAAATGAACCACACGTTGATTATAAAAAGAATAATCAACCGATTGGGGAAAATATAAATTGACTAAGATTAAGAAAACCTTACATTCATTACTATTCATAACAAATACCAATTCTATTTATAAGGGCTGTTCCATAAAAACATATATGGGACCCAGAGAAGGCACTTTGAAATCTCTACTATGGGTGGGTGTCAAGAACAGTGGAAATGTAATAGAAATTCTAAATTTGCCTCTATAGATAGTTACCCCATTATGAAAGTGCCTTCCCTTGGTACCATGTATGTTTTTATGAAACAGCCCTTAGTCAAATTACAATTGTGACAGAAAAACTGATTGTTTATTATTGCAAAGATGCACTTAGCAAACAATTAAATGTGTTGAGGTCAGTAATTTGCAGTATTCTCTTCCAATCAATATAGAAAAACCAAGACACTTACCTCCATTACGATATCCTGTATAGCCTGTCTGAAATCTTTCTGTCTGAGTCCCCACATAGCAGCACCTAAAGTTTTATACGTGTAATTGGACTTGCATTGCTCATCTAACTCTAAAGCTTTCAATGTCTCACAAAACATGTACTTTTTTAATTCTTTCACCTAGAATTGCAAACAGATGAACAATTGGTTGTGATTGAAAATACTAACTTAACAAAATAACTGAAGAAAGATTTGTTTTCGTATACCAGTTCCTGAATTTAAATTTAATGATAATTTAATTAAATGCCAGTGTGTCCACAGACTACAGTAAATGTCACCAATTGTAGCCATTTTAATTACTTTCTCTTCTTAGATTCTGTAATGAAATTATAGAAACAACAGACAATCAAATATCAAACAAATCATGAATATCACCTCTATGCTATTCTTACCTGGTCATATGATGGGAGTAAACGTGAGGCGTATCTGAAAGCTTCCTCTGTTACTCCTGTTAAATTGTAGCTCCCATCTTTCTTTATATGCCGTTCATTTCTTTGTAGTAATAATGACATAACAGTAGTCACTGCAACACAGGAAGCATGGCACCTGAAATATGCACTGGAACTTAAATGGCTATAAGTTTTTATTACAATGTCATAGCTCATTATAAATAGGTAATCTTTATTCAAATCTATTTACGAAACAACTTTATCAAATCATAGGGTTCGTATGGCAAGGATTATTTTCATAAAAAAATGCAGTCTGATTAACATTTGAACAATTAGTGTATCAAAGCTACGCTACATTTACATTATCATAATCAAACAAAACCTTTTGCATTTAAAAACTAAAAAAATATATCGATATTTAAGGACATGTAAAATATTACTTATATCTGGTCATTTTCATATAGGTCTAATTTTTGCATATGCCCAAAAAATGGCTAAAAGTCTAGTAAGAGACATAAACAGCAGTTCTTGAGAAGCTAAGAATTTTTTTTTTCTTTTCATTCTAATGTAATAATGAAAATAAATAATTGGAAGAAATACTTACCTAGGATCTGAGTGTGTAGTATTACATATATCTAAGGTATGCTTGATAACCTGACCAAAATTATTATAATGGTGAAATCCTATCACAGATGTACGGGCTACAGCAGCATTTGTGGCATACATATTCCTTGAATCTCGCCATACTATTTCAGCAGCCTATAATTGAAAAATAAACAAATATTTTAATATTAATTTTATATATGAAAAAATATGTTTAATCAAAATATTGTATAAGGCTGTTCCAAGATAGGATGCATACCAAATATCATTGACTTACCATTAGTGCTTCATCTTAAAATGACCTAATCACAAACTTTAACATGAAAACTATAAAGCAAAAGTTTCAGTTGCTGGGCCAAATAATCTCTATGGAAATGAGATCTGCCAATGCTAATACAACTGCATACCACATATCATTGACCTACCACAAGTAGTTCCCCTTAAACTGACCTTATCACAAACTGATACATTGTTGATGCAGCTGACATCGCCACAACCATCATGCGTAAGTCTTGTCTTTGAGACTTTGAAAAGATGAGACAATAAAACCATTAGTATTCCTAAATTTTGAGTAAGGAGTTAATACAACTTTTACACCTTTATTCAATTTCCAATTGTCAAGTTCACGACAAAGGAAACAAGACAACCATAAGATAGGTCACTAATATTTATTAACTTAAAACTTTATCGTACCATAGATTGATGTAAGTCTCTGTATTGGTAGGTACCGAATAAAAACCTAGAAAACTCTAAAACTGGGACCCTTTATAATTTTAATAATATGCCTAATGGTAAATCCTTAGTATTTCATATGGCATTACCTCATACACATATATTTCTACTTATCTACTCTTTTGGTATTTTAAAAACAAATTTTTTAATATTCAACATTTTTGCATACTTTTTTTGGTTCTTCAGAAAATTGTGGATGTGATATCACAGATTTAACTTGTGGACAGGTTCCTAGACCACACACATCATTTAGTTCTGGAAATCCTTTCTCGTTCCATTCCATCAATTTTCTTGAGAAATCTAATGGGTCAACCTAAAATTGAATTGAGATGAGAATATAATTGGATACATTAATAGAAATAGCACATCTATCAGTTCACTGACTATGGATTCATAAGGCCAAATGGAGAAACAAGTAATCGTTGGTTGCTGGCTGCCATATTTGTTTGTGTTTTATAGCATAAATTCCTGTAGGTCTTTGGTTTTCTCTTTTGAATTGTTTCACAATGTGTCATGCCAGGGCCTTTTATACCTCACTTTACATTATGAGTGTTTGCATTGCTGAAGGCTGTATGGTGACCTATAGTTATTTGCATTCTCGTCTTTATGTCTCTGGTGGACAATTGTCTCATTGACAATCATACCACAGCTCCTTATTTTGATATAAATATGTATGTTTATATAGGTTTCCGATATGACAATAATTTTACAAACACTCATAAATTTTTTATCATGATTACTTCCCCATAAATTTTCACGAATATATCAGTTCTTGTAGCTGATAACTTAATAGAATAAAGTTTTATTGTACGAATTGCAAAAAGTTATTTCAAGATTGAAAGATGATGAAAAGTGCTACCAACAGAAAAAAACAAAAATTATTACACAAAGAAACTAAAATGTTATTGTAATAAAGTAACATCTATATCACTTTCGTCAATTGCATTCGAAAAGAGATGTACATGTATAAAACCATTTACTGGTCAACACCAGTGTTCTCCCCAGGCCGATATGACGCTGCGGTGCCGCAGCGCCTTCATAATATTTTTGTAGATCCCGCAGCGTCTTAATTGGCCGCTGTCCCTTGATACTTGATCCCGCAGCGTGTTAATTTTCACATTTGCATTATAAATGTTGGTTAAAATTGTCAAGTTACTGATCACCGCTGATGGGTCGGTCAGTGTTACGCAATAACTGATAATTAGTTTTACCTGAGCAACGCTTATCTCAGCCTTATCGGACTATGTTATCAGGTAATAGCGTAAATGATCATCAAGATAGATATTTTTTGAAGAAAATTAAAATTTTTAAAAACTTCAGTGCAGAAATTGAAGAAATAGATCGCAAATACATTGTATTTACGCATCGTGTGTGTGATCACTTGACCATTTATATAACGAATTTTTTCATTGGTCGAGAAGAAGAATCTATTTAAACACGACCAATGAACGTGTTGAATACACATGATAAATTTGAATACACATTGCTAAAGATATTTACGATGAAAACTATGAATGAAAGTATTAGTAGTTGAAAAAATTAAAATAAAGTTTGATTAAAGATAACGAGGAGTGATTTACTTTAATAGAAAGTGAAAAAATGTTGCTTGCAAGGTAAATTCGTCTGAAACTGTCATATTTTTAGAAATAAAATGATCATTGAACATCGATCGTGAATCCGTGCGTCGGGAAATATGTGACGATCAACACGGGTACAGAATCGCCGCAGCTTCTGTATAATGTCACTGGTAAATAATTTCAATGGTTTTAACTTTAACGAATTTGTAAAGTTTCGTTTATATCTATCTGCCAAAGATAGGATTAAACAATAATACACACGGAAGCGTAATGTGAAACTACGCCGGGAAACTGGTCAGCTGTTCATTTATAAAAAAAAATTGTTTTAAAAAGTTGTATACCAAATATCTTAACCATATTCGATTTTATTAATTCTGAATGAACATGTTCTCTGCAAATAACAAAGGGGTGAATTATAAGCAAAAGGTAGATGATGGAAGTAGAAGTTTTTTTTCACACCAATGACTTCTAATGAAAAGTGGAATACACCTCCGTCTACACTGTCAGTATAAGCAGATTGCATTGCTTCTCCTAACCCCAACCAAGCTCAAGTTTTAACAATTGATAAAAGCAAGCACCATGTTTCTGGTTTCAATGACAAGTGGCTGACTGAGTTTTCATGGCTTAGAAATGTTAAAGGGGTATAAGCAAAAGTTATTGTGAGTGGGGGTTTAATTTTTAACCCTGAAGAGGATAAAGACAAAGTTGGGGAACAGACTGTCCAACAAAATAACACTATCTTGAAACAATATCCCTAGAAGGAGCAGAGAGTAGAGATGAATATTTATATTTTGACTTCTTTAATTGACTGAATATAAATAACTTTTGTGTTTAAAATCAATTTATTTCATATATATATTCTTGTAATTCATTAATACTCTGCATTATTAAACACATAACACAAAGCATTATAATTCATATTGCATGTCATGATTTATGACTTATTGCTTCAGATCACAAACGTTCACTCTAAAAAAGAGTTACGCGCCCTTGAAATTTGCGCCTTAAAAAAATCCTGGGGAGAACACTGAACACAGGTAGATAAAATGTGTTGATGCATAACAGATCGATAAACGCATGCAGTCTTTAATGGCGGTTAAGGATGTAAGGATTCATGTAGGTACATGTAGCTGTACTTGTCAATCATTTAATTCATGACTGTCAGACACATGTCGGATATGAGATGACAGACAGGTAAGTTGTCCGACAACAGTGGTAACAAGACTTAAAATGTACTGTATATTAGCCAAAACTGCAGATATACAGAACCTGATTAATAATTTCAATAAGTTTCCTGTTATAGAGAGGCAAGAAATATTACTGTGATGGAACAAAGTATTTAATATTGATAATAGCGCTTATGGTGATATTTGGTTTAAACAGTAAACATATGTGTATCACTGATTGAATTGAAACAAGTTTTATAGATGCATATAAATGAAAAAGAACCTTAATGCATTTAAATAATACATGCATCATAAAATCTTGCTACTACTCTGTTTTGTGAACACATTAAACAGTGTTATATACCTCTCCATTTTGACTTAAAATGGACTGTAAGATCAGTAACATATGGTCGGATTCTTCTGTCCAGTCTCCAATAACCCACTTCCTCCTGTGTACATCTGGTAATATTTTCTTGTGGACATATTCTAACTTGTTGTGTACTTCTTTATACTTCTGAAATTACATATTTATAATATATTATAAGGAGGAAACTTTAGTGTCATTGTGCATTGTGTCCATTTCTCAAACCTTACATTTTTCAAGTAAATGAAAAATCCCTTTCTCTTTAAATACTTATAATTAACTTAAGACAGGTCTTTTTTTTTTCATAGCACTTTTATATCTGATAAATTATAAAAAGAGAAAGCATAATTTGGCTATTTTGTTAAATTCATCTATATGTGTCTTGATTAATGGCAATTTAAAGCATGCTGTTGTCTGTTCTATGGTCGGGTTGTTGTCTCTTTGACACATTCCCCGTTTCCATTCTCAATTTTACTATTTCTGAAAATAGTATGTTGACCTCAAGATGTCTTTGGAAATTTTTACATTGTTTGGTTGCTGTCTCCTTGTCATATACCCGAATTCTCAATTTTTGTTCTCAGTCACATATACCTAACATGATCTTTTATTTCAAATTAAAATAAACAAAATTAAACATAATTTATTTTCCATGCTTATGCTTAAATGTCATGAATGTCATAACATTTGAGTAAACAATGAAAGGGTAAATATCTTTATAGGAAAGTATAGGACCATTAACCTTTAGAGAAACAAAACCCTTGTCATATATCTTTCATCTCATTTTTAGACCAATAATCTAAAATGGCAAAGGAAAAGATTTCAAAGTATAAAACCTTTTTAGCTTCTTCTCTAGTTAAATTTTCTGTAAGAAGTCCAATAGCATCACCAATACAATGTCCATACACAATAGCATAAATCTGGTCATAGACTCTGTTCACTTCTTTTCTTAGTGCCTAAAATAATTAACAAATAATATATGAAAAATTCTTTGCTATCACAGTAAGTTAAAAAACATTTTCTGCTCAATATATTGTAGTTCAGCGACTGAAAATTTTGAGGACTATTGGAGAACAAGGTTGGGCAGTAAATACTGTCCCCAGTATTGAACAACCCCCTTAAACAATGCTCCTCAAGCGGTCAATACTTGTCAATTGAAATATTCAAGGTGGTCTTTACTTTTAATTGAAATAAAAACATTGTAAATAATTGTGAATAAGAGTTTTTATTATTGCGAGTTGACATTATCATGATTATACTATAATGTCATCTCAGACTGTATATAATTTATATAAGGTAAGAATTGACTAATTGACGGTAAGAGTTGTAAAATGTTTTATCGGTCTGTCCAGGTTATCTGTGTGCCGAGTTGTCCCATATTCTGCATATGTGCATGTATATATACATGTACATGAACAAATACTGATATGTGTATGCTGCCGGGGAAATAAGAAAATTGTAACATAAAATTATCCACAAATAAACGATTTTGCACAAAAGGTGTGACCGGATTGAATCACTCTTGGGCTGCTCCATTGTGAGAAATGGGACCAAATCTAACCACCAGGAGAGAAGCAAACACAGGATGACATTATGGTACATTGTATTCATAGTATTTAGTCCTAATTTGTAAATTATTATGATTTCTTGAAAGGTATTTTTATTTAAAATTTGCCGGACGCCTTGACTGCATCAAAGCCTTTTTATGACATCACAATTATTTAGACTACTATAGTATTATGATCTTGTAATCTATGTCTTTACGACAGTAGAGTCTCTAATGCTTTTTTATTATGAGCTTACAGTACAAATTTCGCGAAAGGCTTCCCAAACTCCGAACACCAAGTTTTTTCTTGGTGTGACACCAGGAAACTCCGACATCCCTCCCTAAATTCTCGGAGAAATTTGGGAGTATTCCCTCCGACTTCCGCGTAAATTCGCTACCTTTTGTTTATTGTATTAGCGACATCTCTCCCAGTCCGGTGTGACGCGGTGTCACACCAGGTAATTAATTGCCCTAATCCTTCTGATCTATACCGGCATGCGACAGTCAAGGTATGTGAGATTACTTATGTAATTAAACAATTGTATTTCCTGTCTATTGATAATCAGGTTATATTTCTGATTGTTTGAAACAAATAAAAGATTTAAAAGCAAAACTTTGTTGTTAATTCTTTCAATTACACTGTACATTTAAAAATAGTTTTATTAAAAAAAACTATATTTGATTTTTACCTCGTTTTTTTTCTGGTCAGTAAATTAATATTTAATTTACAAAAGAGATATACTTGTGTAAAAATAAACCGAGATTTACGCTGAATAAATGTGGGAAGTTTAAAGGAAAATTACATGTCTCAAAGTTTTGTATACAAGTAAAAAAGAAAATATTATTCACTATTCATTATGCTAATAAGTCCACGCCATTTTCATTTTATGATTACATAATTGCTTGAAACAAATTAAAGATTTAAAAGCAGAATGTTGTTGTTAATTCTTTCAATTGCATTAAAGTTTTATAACAAAAATTATACTTGATTTTGACCTTGTTTAAGTTCATCGGTAAATTATCTTATTTACGAAAAGAGAGATACTTGCGTAAAAATAAACAGAAACTAACGCTGAATATAAAAGTGAGCAGTTGAAAGAAAATTACGTGTCTCAAAATTTGTATATGCAAGTAAAAAAGAAAATACTATTCACCATTCGTTATGCTTAATAAGTTTACGGCATTTTCTCTTTACAATTTGTTGGCATTACTTTAGGATAAATAATTACATTTCGGCTACAACAGGAATACTTCTATAGCTGCATCAACTCGTCGTTGCATTATATTCATTTATGCACAATGAATGTAAACTTGTGTGTTGTATAAAGGACAGTGATTTTTAAATTTTTAAAAGAAATTAATTGCCGTGGGAAGACGATACACATCTCAGTGATCAACAGTCTGTGGTTGAACTTTGAACTTGACTTCGCTCACAATATTGAATGCTAAAAATAGTGACATCAATTTTGTCCACAAGATTTTTATTTGGCGGGAAATATTATCACGTAACAGTAAACTCAGGTGACCTTTCTGGATGACCGTGGGAAAATTCATTCGGGGTTTAAATTTGCTTTGGAATGATTGACATTTGTATGCCTTAAGATTGAGGCTCTAGAAGGTCCTTTTACAATTGATTAACCGGAATCTAAAATGTAATCCTTTTCTGAATAAATGAACACCAGCCTTTTAATTTTACGTTTCTCAGTCAACACAGGACATAAACCTGGACATTATTTATACATCCATGGTCAACAATATACATAAATGGTAGATGAAAACAGGATGCATGTCGTTCAGTTCCTGTTGGGTGTTGTTAGAGATCCTCTGTGAAAATGTGTAGATCGTAAAAATCCAATCCACATTTTTTTCACATATTTCTTTCTTGTAGAACACGATATAATTTCATTTAAATATTCTATAGTATTAATTGTTGAAATACTTCTTTTTTTTATTTCGCCAAGGACTTTTAACGAGCAATAAAATACGGATTGCGCCCATCCAATTCTATTTTAAATAATAAAGGATCAATAACAGATCATAACAGAGATAAACAACACATGATTGTTTTTTTCTTCATATAATTTAATTAGGTTGTGATTATTGTGTTTTGTCTGGGCAGGGAATGTCTCTCAGTGTTGTGTTTTTATGAATATAGGGCACATTGCATACAAAACGTTTTCCCTTCGTTCAACAGAGTTGTCACTTTACAGTTTCTTTTCTGAGTTCAAATATTTCAAGTCGGTAATCGACCGAGGTAGTGAAACATAATATTTTACATTGCAAAATAAATTGAAAGTAACAGAGTTCACTTGTTGATCCGATAAATTAACTCTTGGGTTTAGATTGGACAAACTACCGTAAAAACATCATTTTGTTTTAAGCCAGTTGATATTTATATATTGAACAATTAATGAACCAGATATTGCTCACTGAGTAGGTCATAAAAAGATTCTAATTGTAGTAAAATCGTCTTTGTTGAAAAAACAAAAATTATGACCTGACCGGACTATAATAAAAATACAAAATAAGTGTTTTATTCGTATTTTTATACGCTTGTATGTTTTATATCAAATGACAATGACATGGGGCAAATACATACAAGAATAATTATCTTATTTTGAATGAAAATGTCACATTTTTATCTGTTAAAGAAAGGAAATTTTAATACCGTGTTTTAAAGCACACAGGTGCAATCAAGATCGATTAAATGTACAAAGGTAATAAATCTGGCTAATCCGATTATGTTGTCACGCGTCATTAATTTTCAGTACATCCGATGGGCAATAAACCAATTAACAGTCAAAGATATAACTCTATAGGGTTATTACAGAAAATAACTTGCGTGTGTTATTACAGATACTTTCATGAGTTGTCTACTCTTTATTCCTTAAATTTTCTAAATCTGTAATAACATATGTTTGTTATTTGTAAAATTATTTATTTTATAGTGGGCTCTAGGGAACTCTAGAGACTTTGCGCAGAAACTAAATGCATAGCCTTGATAACTAATTTTTTAATTAAATTAATTCATTTTTGATTAACCATGGTAAATCAATGAGACGAGGCTATTAAGGGATAAACTTAGCTGTGATAACAAGGCTAGGTTATTAAAGGAATGTAACTTATTATATAAGACACTTGGAAATTACTGAGAAACTTGCGCAGTACCTCATTACATGCTCTGGTCATTATTTCTTACAATAAATTAAAATACATTGTAATTAAGCATGATGTATGTCTGAGCAAATGCTTTGAAGTGATATAGAGAAGCTGTGATAACACCCTTTAGTTATTACAGGCGTATTTTTTCTGTAATAACATATAGGTGTACTATGCAAAATTGGCAAACTATGAACTGTTATATCTTTCAATAGTTAAGTATATATATAGACAAAAGTAATATCAATAGAACTTTTATACATTTTAACTAAACTAATGATGTATATTGTCCCTTTGAAACATGTAACATACATATGTTATCACAGTTCTTTGATTTTTTAGTCCACAATAACAAATGTATGTTATTTTTCTGTAATAACCCTATAGAGTTATATCCCTGACTGATTAACAGCCACGCGGTGTTGGGAGAGAATCTTTGGAGGAAATTGGGAGTATAATCCGTGATTCGCAGTGTGAGACCGCTACACTCCGCTATCCGTGATTAGAGTTCGCGATTACAAACTCTCTGTGCGTACTGTATGTCAGATCACAAACACTTATGCAGTTATGGCTATGTGCTGATGACAGATTTTGACAGATCTTAACTTTTGTGCCTTTGAAGCCCATACCTACAAGCAATTAAAATTTTCAATAGTTTTTCAAGGTGCCAAAATAGATTACCCTTGTATAAGGCTGATATTTTCGTTTGCATGGAGAGTTTCGTGATTTCAATTTCCCGCGAATGGGTCCAAGTCTATCCATCTTTCAAAATTTGTTAGTATTCTACAGAAGTGAAGAATTGAAAGCACAGTTAGAATGTGTATTTTGTGAAACATCCTTCATAATCAAATTGCTTTATTTTTATTGACCGGAAAAGCTAACAGCTTAACAGCGTCAGATTTTTTCAATTAAAATATTTACAAAATAAAATACTGATAACAAAGGTTTTGTTCGTAGATAATTAACAATCAACATTCTGAAAAGACTTTGATCTGAACTTTGACGCCACCTGTATAGTAGTACTTTCACAAATAATAAAATCAGAAGTCAATTTCGGTCAACAGCACATGTAACTGTGGAGAATGATTTTGCCAGAAGCTTTACCAGAAGATGTTACAGAAGTTACTGGGACTCTTTCAGGTTTGAGCAGAAGGTTTTTTTTTACCATAACGCCACCTTATAAAAGTATGCGAAAAAAAAAAACACTTATAAAACACTGAAAACTTGCCACAATAGTTATGACAGTTGCTAGTCTTTTATAAAACAATCATGAATATATTAATAATAACAATAACAAAACATAATTCTATTATATCAATTAAATTTTATTTTCTTATGAAGCATACACCACCACCACCTAAATTCTTTATTAGTTGGCAACATAAGATGAGTATTTATCGTTGATGATTGCAAGTTCGTTATGCTTGCAAGTTTGTGACATTTGGGGATTTCCACTTTACTTGTGACGTCATGCATAAGTATTCATCATCAGCAACGTGCTACTTCAAAAAAACTTTAGTGGATATTTTGCATTGCATATTTACTTTAAAATATATTGGCTTGAAAAAGAGAAGTTGTGTATGTTCTTGCATATTATTTGTTTTAACGTCTATTTCCACTATGACTGTTTTACTCCTATCCTAGAATTTCGTTGAATTCTTGGGAAAATCCTTTCAGCAATGTTATTGACATCTTAATAATAAGTCATCATCTATTTTTAGGTTATGTGGAGCTCTTTTTCTTTTTTCAAGGCCAAGAGTATTTTTTTTAAAGTTTGTATGTGGGCAGATTTTTTAAGATCAGAATATGATTTGATATCTTTTGATAAAACAAAACCTACGGAATATTGGCTTGTAAAATAAATTTAATCCTATGGCATTGAATGCAAATTAAATGAAAAAATACTTTGATGCATTAATGACATTGTGACATCGTTGTAGTTATCTTAAACGTGTTTAAATTGTTTAATTCTGGACTTTTCAAATGACCATTGAAAGTCACGTGTAAAAATTAGAATAATTGTTGTAGGGAGAATAAAAAATTTAGTATGCCCCTATTTCTCTTTTTTTCGAGATATTCATTTGTTACTTGATCTCAAATTTATTCTGTAATGTTCAAATATATAATACAATAGGCCTGACTTATATATTGTTGCACATGCGCAAAAGCCAGCGTCCAAGACAAAGGTCACGAACTTACAAGCATGTCGACTTTTTTTACGGAATTGGGCCACAATACGAAACATAGACAGATTGACAATGTTTCTGAAGCTATTCATCAATAAAGTTTATCAGACTGTTTGCAAATAACTAAAGAATATTTACATTCACAGTGGATAATATTGCTCCAAGGTTGCGATTTTTTTCTTCCGTTTCGGATTAGGGTAACGAACTTCCAATCATCAAGGATATCATGTTTATTGGAACTTAAATGAATGGCATGCCTTATCACTATTTTGGAATCTGCGCCACTTGAACTATTTACGTCATACAACAATCACTTTTCGTTTGTGGTGTCAGACATTTTCCATTATGACGTCAAAATTTTACGGGAACCTTTGTGATGTCCAGTAGTGGCGGACAAATAACGATAAGGTGTATCGTGTATTGAAAAGGGGAATATAAAATTCCTCACACTATACATTGCTACATGTATATTGATTGATATGAAACATTGCTTCTTGATGAACACCCAATGATTATTGTTTTTTAAACAAGTGGATTTTCATGTTTGTTTTACTTGTTTTACTTTTCTGTATTCAGATAAACAAATTTACAGGAAATCTTCCTTGTCTTATGCTACTTTTTGGTATTCTCAGGTAATCCTATTCTCCTTTATTACGTTTAAAAAAAAAGAAAAGAAAAGAAGAAAGGTTTTTTGCCCCAATGTTTTTGAAGGTTTTTCAGGGTCATAGCATATAGACCTAAATCTACACTTTTACCATGTATTATAATTTTTTTGTTTGATGAAAATTACTTTTGTTTATTATTATCATAAGAATCTTTATTGTGGTAAAGCATGTTAAAATATATATACAGCTTTTAACAAACAGGACAAACAGAATTCAATTTACATAAAACACAGTGTGGGAACCAAATTGTACCCTTTTTATACGACCGCCAAAAAATTTTGTGGTCGTATATTGGTATGACGTTGGCGGCGTCGTCGTCCGAATACACAATGGTTTTCACACTCTAACTTTAGTTTAAGTGAATGGATCTCTATGAAATTTTACCATAAAGTTCAATACCACAATAGGAAGGTGGGGATTGATTTTGGGGGTTATGGTACCAACAGTTAAATAATTAGGGGCCAAAAAGGGGCCGAAAATAAGCATTTTTGTAACTTCCAGACATAACTTGTGTGTTATTGTATGGATCTCTTTGAAATTGTACTACAAGATTCCATATCACAAAGGGTCGATGATGGGATTGATTTTGGGGTTAATTTCCTCGAAATTTTAGGAATAAGGGGCCAAAAGGGGGCAAAAAACAAGCATTTTTCTAGTTTCATGACAATAACTTGTGTGTAAGTGTATGGATCTTTCTGAAATTTTACTACAAGGTTCCATTTCGCAAAGGGAAAGCTGGAATTGAGTTTTGTGGTAATTGCCCAAAACATTTAGTAATAAGGGGCCTAAAAAGGGGTGAAAAATAAGCATTTTTTAGTTTCTAGACAATAACTTGTGTTCAAGTGTATGGATCTCTCTGAAATTGTATTACAAGGTACCATACCACAAAGGCAAGGCTGTTATTGAGCTTGGTTTGGGGGGGAAGGGGGGGGTGATGAATCATAGGGGGGGGGGGGGGTAAAAAAAGGGGTAATTATTTTTTTTCGTTTAAGGAATAAGGGGAAAAAAGGTTAAAAAACTAGGGTTTCCATTTTAATAGACAAATAATTGAGTAAAGAACATTATTTAAAAGCAGTGTAAGGTTGGTAATTCAAACTCATTTAAATATCTCACCTGCACTATGTTTGAATTATGTAAATTGGAAATTTGCCAATTATTTTAGTATAATAAACTTCATTGGAAATTTGCCAATATAAAATTTTGCTGATGAAGGTTTTTTGTTTACCTTTAGTCTGACTATGATGTCATTTTCTATTTTAATAGCCTTATGATGTAGTTAAATTTTTTTTAATACTTTTATGATGCATTTTAATGCGCTTTTATGGTTGCAAATTTATTGTTTTAATATAATAAACTCCATTGGAAATTTACCAATAGTTTGTTTATTTTTAGCTATGACTATGATGTCATTTTCTATTTAATTTTAAGGTTACAAATTAATTTCAGTTTTAAATATTATTGTAAAATGTTTGCCCAAAACATTTATTAATAAGTGGCCAAAAAAGGGGGCAAAAATAAGCATTTTTTTAGTTTCCAGACATTAACTTGTGTTCAAGTGTATGGATTTCTCTGAAATTGTACTTCAAGGTACCATACCACAAAGGGAAGTGGGTCAAAAAAATTTTGGGGGGGGGGGATTTTTTTTCCTTTTTTTTTTCTTTAAAATTTTCCATTTTAAGTTGGTTAATTCTGATCACAAAGAGAAAGTTGGAATTGAGTTTGGGGGATAATTGCTCAAATGTTTAGGAATAAGGGGTTAAAAATAAGCATTTTTTTTTAGTTTCCAACAATTAATTGTGTTTAAGTAATTGGATCTCTGTGAAATTGTACTGCAAGGTACCATACCACAAACTGAAGGCTGGGATTGAGTTTGGGGGGGCGTGATGTGTGAAAATTTTCCACTTAAAGTTGGTTAATTATTTCTGATTTAGATATAAAAGCAAATAATAATGATGTGGTTTGATTTTATCAAAAACTTAAATTGAAGTTATGTATATTGTAAATTTAGGTTACATTGGAATTTAAGAATTGGCTTTGGGGTAGGGTTATGGCTCAAACCTTTAAATAATAAGGGAAAAAAAGGTGAAAAAACAAGGGTTTCCAGGTTAATAGACAAATAAGTACAAAACATTATTTAAAAGCAGTGTAAGGTTGGTAATTCAAACTCATTTAAATATCTCACTTACACTGCTTTTAAATTATGTAAATTGGAAATTTGCCAATAACTTTATTGTTAATAAATGCATTGGAAATTTGCCAACAATTTTAGTATAATAAACTTCATTGGAAATTTGCCAATATAAAATTTTGCCGATGAAGGTTTTTTGTTTACCTTTAGCCTTGACTATGAAGTCATTTTCTATTTTTATAGCCTTATGATGTAGTTGAATTATTTAATACTTTTATGATGTGTTTAAATGGTGTTTTATGGTTGCAAATTTATTGTTTTAGTTTAATAAACTCCATTTAAAATTTGGTAATAAAAAAAAAATTTGTTTATTTTTAGCTATGATTATGATGTCATTTTCTATTTTACTTTTATGGTTGCAAAGAAATTTTTATTTTTAGATATTACTGTTAAATGATGCTGATTAAGGTTTTTGCTATGTTTAGCCATGACTATGATGTCATTTTCTATTTTAATATCTGTCATGATGTATTTAAATGGGCTTTTATGGTTACAAAGGAATTTTATTTTTAGATATTACTGTAAAATGTTGCTGATTAAGGATTTTGTTTATTTTTAGCCATGACTATGATGTCATTTTCTATTTTAATACCTTTATTATGTAATTTCCATTTTTATACGACCGCAAAAATTAAAAATTTTTTGGTCGTATATTGGTATGACGTTGGCGTCGTCGTCGTCCGGCGTCGTCCGAAGACACATTGGTTTTCGCACTCTAACTTT